GGGTTGAAGAAGAGCTAGGAAATTCAGGAAGCATATGGATACACACGGATGCCAGGAAGCGCGTGTTGTTCAGGCAGAGGCGTCACGGAATTTGCGAGATCATGTTATGGAGGACTGCGGCTGATTTGAATGCGCGTGATTAGATGCAAGCAGCGATGGAGTCCTGCCCCGGCAAAACCGTCGTCTCCGGCGTCATGGGTTTCGGTCTCGGAGGTGTCTTTGGTTTGTTCATGAGCAGCGTATGTCCCCATCCCCCCATCCTATTTCCCCCCCGCCTCACCAGAACCTTGAAGCTAACTCTCGCCCAACAGATGCGCTACGACAGCGCCTACACGCCCCAAGGCGCCGCAATCTCCCAGCTACCAATCCGCCAACAACTGCGCACCGGCTTCAAGGAAATGGGCAAGGCATCCTGGTCCTCGGCCAAAAACTTCGGTCTCGTGGGCGCGATTTTCAGCGGCACGGAGTGCTGCATCGAAGGGCTGCGGGCCAAGAACGACATGGGCAACGGGGTTGCGGCGGGGTGTATTACCGGCGGTGCGTTGGCGGCGAAGGCGGGCCCGCAGGCGGCGGCTGTGGGCTGTGTGGGGTTTGCGGCGTTTAGTGCCGCGATTGATTGGTATATGCGTATGCCTAGTGATGATCCGGCGGCGGATCCGATTATTTAAGAGTTAGGAGGGGAGGCGAGGGGACGATGTTGGCCGGGATGGGATTTGGTGAAGGGGGGCGGTGACGAGATTTCAAAGCAGGAGGGGTGGGGATGGCGATGTACAAGTGAGGGTGTACGATACTAAAAGCGGGAAATGGTACCAGGGCGTGTGATTGGGCGTTTTTCAGGGCTTGGGCGGGAGTTCGGGGGCGCAGAAGGTAGATGGACTTTATTAGAAGCTGGGGGACTGCATGGGATACGGCGTCTATGGGCAATTTCCATCCTGGTTCAAGCGAGCATCTCTTCTCAGGAACATGAGAGACAGGACAGTCACACAGGGGAAGCGTTCGGCTCTGCTTCGACGGAGGAAAGTTTTTAAACCCCAATTAGATTTTCACTTTTTCCAACTTACATCAGATCGCGCTACTACACTTCGAATTCCGTAGACGATCTGGTTTCGTGCACAAAGCTATCCAGCCCCGTTGTAGACACATCCGGTCTTAATAGGACGCACATGTATTCTGTAGTGCCTGAGCAATACGGCCACCATACATGTAGCAAGGCAGACAGGGCACTATACATAGACACACGCATACAATTCTGCCAAGCGAACCCAAGATCACCAGCACACCCCGTGATGACTTCAGGACAACGGCAAACACTCCCGTGACCCAGGTTTCCACGGCAAAGAATTAATATCGAACCCGCGTGTCCACTGCGAAGATCGATCTGGATTTCCCCAGAGTCCCACTTTGGGCCATGTGCTGGACCAGATCAGGTAACATGATGGAAGCCCTTGCAAGGGAAGTGGTCACCTTGACAGTTTGACTGGGAGTCCTGGGACGAAGATCAGTTTACCCGCCCAGTCGGTTGCGTTCTCGCAGATGAGTGGCGACGGCGGGTGATCAATGCATATGCAATAAAACTTGTCACCTGCGCCTGCGCCTTTCATCAGCCGTCGTGAAGGGACGGGTTCCAGGCTAAGAGGTGGCTGCTGTTCCTGTGCTATATTTGCCCTTCTTCTATACTACATGTACACCCACGTGGTTCTGGCCTGCATACGGAGTAACCGTACATGTACCTATATGACATATACGCCTTGTGTAGGTTCCTCCCGACCGACGAAGCTGACGCGCAGAACAAGAGCTGGAGATGGCAAATCAAGGCCGTACCTAGAGCATGTACCGCGGGAACGTACCTGGCATTGAACTGTGGAGGCACGGGCAGGGACCGCATCACGCGTGCTGCGTGCATACATGAAATTGCCACGACTGGATACACACGGGACTGGTACCTGGCAGGATTCCAGATGCGGTCCCACTATAGTCCCCCATGGGTGAAGGTCCCCATGGGCGCTCGTCCCGTCCCGCCGTAACGCTCTCTCACCGTACCGGACGATACCTGTCAATGTCTCATTTCACGTCAACACTCTCATGGACGCTCATCTCACACAAATGCCGACCACGTCCATCAAAGCCAGGTAAGTTAATTAATAGCCGGCGGCGTGTAGTATCTTTCATAGCATGCGTAGAGGCGCGAGTGGCTTGTCCCACGACGGCTAATTGAGCAGATGTTTGGTGGCGTCTGGGGACTGTTTGCGGCTCTTTTACCCCTCGTCGCTCGAAAGCTCCACCTTCTGGATTGACACGCATCACCAACTCCCCTGGCAAGACCTCCTAGCGAGCCCCTCTAGCGAGCCGTGGCTGCATAAGGACTACCTACTTGTGGTAAAGGACTAACAGTTAATTACACCACCACCAGGCACCGGATAAATACAACCTGTACCGGTGCCTGAACCTCTTCGGAACATGAACGCTGCGACCTGCGCCTCACACCCGTGTCACATCTCCCGGTACTCCACCATCCATTATCCATACCGTCCCCGGCTTCCCCAGAGTTAGCCCCCATGTCCCATGGTCTATGCTTGAGGTGCTGCTCACGAACCTCGGCACACACCACCGGAACACCATCCATCTCCAGATCTGCATACTACCTCCCTGTAGGCCAGAATCCTTGATTTAGCCGGCATCTTGTCTGCGGCTACTCGCAGCTGCGGAAGGTGCTGCAGAAAATATGTTCCCTTCGAAGCCCTTGTGCAGGCTAATTCACGTCGAGCAATGTATATAATTGAGCTCCCCAGCTGCCAGGTAGGTGGTCTTTCCCGTCCATCAGCGATCGCATCTTCCTCTTGTTCTCCAATACCTTCGTTACAACGACGACGACCATCATGTCTGTCCGTTCGCTCCTCACCTTGGGCCTTGCCGCTCTCCCAGCTGTTCTGGGTAGCCCACTCGAGGCCAGAGCTGCAGCTGCAAAGACTACCACTGTCACTGCTTCTGCCTCTACCGTGACTGTCACCGCCTCGGCCTCCACAGTGACCGTCACTGCTTCCGGCTCGGCCTGCGGCTCCATCACCAGCGCACCATCCTCCTCCCACACCACCTCGACCTCCGTCAACACCAATCCCACCACCACCGAGACGGCCACCCAGACCATCGGCTTCAACAAAGCCGCCAAATCGTTGTCCCCAAAGCGCTACTTCGGCACCGCCGCGGACATCCCCGGCACAGGCGAAAACCAGGACCCGTACTATATGGCCGAGCTGAACAACACCAAAGACTTCGGCCAGCTGACGCCAGCCAACATCATGAAATGGTATGCCACCGAGCCCGAACAGGGCGTCTTCAACTACACCGGCGGCAACGACTTCCTCGCGCTCGCCGAGGCCAACGGCCAAATCGTGCGCTGCCACAACCTGGTGTGGTACAACCAGCTGCCGTACTGGCTGACGAACCCGACGACCAACTGGACGGCAGCGACGCTGACGGCGGTTATGGAGAACCATATCACCAACCTCATCGAGTACTGGGGCGACCGGTGCTACGCTTGGGACGTGGTGAACGAGGCGTTGAACGACGATGGCAGCTGGCGAGAGACCATCTTCTACGAGGTCATTGGGCCCAGCTACTTCGATATTGCGTACAAGACTGCGCAGGCGGCTGTTAAGGCGAAGGGGTTGAAGGTTAAGCTGTACTACAACGACTACAACATCGGTACGTTTACGCTACTTACACTACTTACACCCTTTTCTTTTCTGCTTACACTTTCTCTCTTCTTTCCTTTTCGCATGCTAACACAAAACTCCCAGAATACCCCGGCAACAAATCCACCGCGGCCCAAAACCTCGTCAAAGGCCTCCAATCCCAAAAGATCAAAATCGACGGCGTCGGTCTCCAGTCGCACTTCATCATCGGCGAGACCCCGTCCCAAGCCACGCAAGAGTCCAACATGGCCGCCTTCACGGGCCTGGGCGTCGACGTCGCCGTCACCGAGCTCGACGTGCGTAGCCCGAACCTGCCGCCGACCGCCGCCCAGGAGACGCAGCAGAAGGCAGACTACCAATCGACGGTCGGCGCGTGCGCCAACACGCAGCGCTGTGTGGGCGTCACGGTGTGGGATTTCGACGACACTTACTCCTGGATCCCGTCCACGTTCCCCGGCCAGGGCTATGGCGATTTGTTCTTCCAGCCTGGCGGCCCGGATACCCCGCTGGTCAAGAAGGTCGCTGCGGATGGCGTTATTGCTGGGTGGGAGAGTGGTACCTAGGGGGCTAGGCTGGTTTCGGAGCGGTGATGGGATTTGGTGATGGTGAAGGCGCGGCAACCTCTCTCGCATTCGCATTCTCATTCCGCTCTAGGATCCGCCCTTCCTCGGCCCAGGCTGGTTGGCATTGACTATGATTTAGACGCTCGCGCTGGCGCACAGTGAGGGCGTTTTCATCATGTTCGATGTTTCGCTGCCTCGGACGAGGAAAGGGGGTGGGTGAAATGGAATGGGACTGGGAGAGGAGCAGGGATTGGTTTGGGTTTGTGAAGAAGAAAAATAGGCAGTCGTTTTCCCGAAATATTGACGTGCGGTTTTCTCTTTCGCAATGCGGTTGATGTTGTGACTTGGCCCTTTTTTTCGGCAGAAACTGTGAACGCGCTGTGCTGTCTTGGGCCCGCTGTGAAACGTGGGACCTACATGTACCTACCTTATGTGCACCAGGTAAGGAAAGAAGAACATGAAGAGCGCTATAAGGTACCTACTACCTAGGTAGTAGAATTATGGAGAAGTCCGCGCAACCGCACGGATATACGGAACAAATCATCACCGTAACTATTTTGTCCGAAGCCACAGTGCTCAGCCGTATTTACCTGTAGACAATCGCCCTCAAGGTGCTATGAAACCTGGTGTCCGTAAGGTAACGTTAAAACTAGTGGTGCAGTCCTGTCCCTGAGCGACCGCTTCGCGCGTGGCGTGGTAAAGGTTCAGGATAGATTGTTTGTTGGCGAATAATTTCTTCTACTGCGCGCCAATAGTCCAATGGTTAGGATTGCCGCCTTCCAAGCGGCAGGTCTGGGTTCGATTCCCAGTTGGCGCAACATATGTGCCCGCGAGTCTTTGACTCGTGACAACCTTTTTTTGTCTTCTGTCCCTATCGGGGAAAAGTTTTCGGCGCTGTGCTTTGCGTGGTCTCGGTTTTTCTTTTGCTGGAGGAAGTGCTGTGCTGCGCTGCGCTCTCTGCTACACAAAACGCCGAGGCGCAAGAGGAGGACGGAACGGTCATGCATTCTAATCGCCGTTCTTACTTGATTGAAAGCATGCTTTCCTTTCCTTTTCAAGAGTGCATTTCCTGAGGTCTTGGTATGGGTAGTGCTTGGTGTATAACGAAAATATCAAATGGCATTGCGTCCGCTCTTGAGGTATATAGACCCGCCAAAACCAGCTCTTGAACGCTCTAACTATAATTTCTATCCTCGTATATCTCACCTCTATATCAACCCCAACTCCTCACTCACATACACCTCATCGAAATTAAAACCCACTCTACTCCTTATAAATCTCCTGATCAAACTGTACCGGAAACCCCTCCCTGCCCTCCGCATCCCTCTTAACCCAAACCGCCACACTCGTCCCCGGACACGCAAACATCCCATTCCCCTCCTCATCGATCGTCACCTCGCCCTTCTCCCACCCCAAAACATCCGTCCACACCTCGCCCTTATGCTCGGGCCCGACATGCATCTGGATCTGGCCAGGGCCCGTATTACTCATCACGCAGGCCAGTCCGTCGGGCCGGTCGTGGGTGCCGCGACGCACGAACCCGATGCAGTTTGCGTTGTCGAAGTAGTCGTCCTGGGCGCCGTAGGCGTACAATTTCCTGGCCAGGGCGAGGTCCGGGAGTTTGCCGCCGCAGGAGGGCGGTTCGGAGTGCTCGCCTTGGGTGCCGTAGAGGTCGCCGTAGAAGAGAGAGGGGTAGCCGGCGTTGCGGAGGAGGATCAGGCTGTAGGCTAGCGGCTTGAAGAAGGGTTCGATGGGCGTGGCGACGGTTTGGCCTGGCTGGGTGTCGTGGTTCATTACGACCGTCTGGGTTGATCAGCTCTGTGCGGGGGGTTTTTCAGGGAGAATGGTGGTGCACTTACCACGGCATTGACGGGCTCGGCCTTGACCAAGGTTCCGTCGAACACCTTCCTCAAATCCGCCGCCTCCTGCGTACTCAGGCTGGAAAAGTTGTTCAACAGCGGTGCGTCGTACAGACTAAACTTCCTCTTCATCTTCGCCAACCACTCCGTCATTTTTCCCACCTCGCCGACCCAAAACTCGCCCACAACGAACATGTCATCCCCGCACTCCTTGCGCAGCATATCAATCCACTCCTTGGTAAACCGCTCCGAGAAATGCTGCACGGCGTCCAGTCTAAATCCCTTCAACCCAACCTCCTTCGTGATCCAAACACCCCAATTCTTGACGTCCTTCTCCACCTCCTCGTGGCTGTAGTCCAGATCCGCAAACATGAGGAAGTCGGCGTTGCCCTGTTCGGAATCGACGCTTTCAGACCAGCCCTTGTTCTCGCCTTGGATCTTGAAGATGCCTTTGCGCCCGGTCTCGGCGTCGTAGTCGGTGCCTGTGAAATGGTACCAGTGGTATTTTTGCGCGCTGTATTTGTCGCCGCGGCCGGGGAAGTCGAAACCCAGCCAGGCTTTGATCTCTTGAACGTCGGATATCTGCTTGTTGCGGTCTGTGGTACTTTCACCCGTCAGCACCCATGGCAACCGATTTCTGCATACATATTCTGTAAGAAGTGAATGGGCCAGGAGTGTAAGCGTACCATTCTGATCCACCTCTACAACCTTGACCTTCTCCTTCTTGTCCGCCGCGGCCTTGTGATTCAATACTGCATCCCAATACAGCCCTACGCCCAGCTCTTTCGCTTTGCTACTCAATTCAAGCAACTGTTCTTTCGTGCCCCATTTCGTTGCTACACCGCCCTTTTGATCGAATTCGCCCAAGTCATATATGTCGTAAACATCATAGCCATTGCCCTAGATAGTTAGTTTTCAGCATGCTGCGTCGTCTAGTGCTGTGTGTGTGGGGAGGAGAGGCTACCTCGGGACTGCTGGCTTTGCACCCAGGCGGAAGCCAGATGTTGGATACGCCAATGTTCTTAAGTCCGTCGAGGGCATTCTGAAGACGCGTGTAGTGCTTCCCGTCTGGAGGACAATTCCACTCAAACCCTTGTAAAAGGGTGCCATTCACAGGCGTAGACCCTTTAGAGCCACCCATATCACCCATATTGCAATAACGTGAGAGGTGCGATAAAGAGCGACGAACAATGCAAGTGCTAAACGCTAAAAGATACTTGCAAATGAAGAGACAGTGAGTGGGAAATGGAAACGATGGTATACTTATCTCGAACTATGGATGTACGCGCATATTACTGAGGAGTTGGCTCCTCAACCAATTGCCATGGCACTATCACAAAGCCGGTTTGAAGGCTGGAATGCGAGAGCAAATGACGAACAGAGGCGTCGGAGCGTGGGGCAGACGACGCGGGCGGGAAAACGCGACTTCGGGAAATTCTGCCTAATCAAATCGCGTCACTTCCACGCGACTGCGGGTGGGCTGCGGGAAGCCGCGAGGCCCGGCACTTTGCGAATACCAGGTATACCATCAAGCGGTTTTCAAGGTCGAGTGTATCGTACTTGTATATAAAGGAATCGATGGAACATTTCACGTAAGATATACTAGTAAGTGGTGGCAAGTTATGGCAGGAGAGTAAGGGTAGTAATAATAGTTGGAATGTCGCATTCGAGCACCTCCCTGCGGCCCGGTATAGAAAAGCATGAATATGAGGTAAGTCTCGCAATGCCTTTTCCTACACGTTAAATTGATGGTATGGTGTATCAGAGTACGTGCAGTATGTTGAACTTGATCGAGAGATTTGCAAGGTAAAGGGTAAATCCGAGACCGCGATGATGTATATGTTTCATAGGTATGAATGGTTTCAAAACTTAGAGATCGATCATTTACTAACCATGTCCTATTCTGCCAATCCAGTGGCCATTCTATCGTTTTGGAAACCATACTGGGTTTCTGTAAGGCCTAATTGAGGCTGTACCGATTTGCCCTACCGTGAATCGATTTCAATACTCTGATTTCTCTTTCGTTTCTATACCGTAAGTAATCTTACATTCTGCTGGCAACTGCATCTTGATAGCTTGGACAAACATATGAGCCTTAGTTTCAACTTGTCCCATGTCTTTTGTTCTCTGAATGATCTGCGAGACTCCGATCTTGAGGCTGATAGTCTTTAAGCCTTTGTATCTGCCGAATATCTAGCTGTGCTCAAAGTTTCGTCCTCTGTGCGTGTAATTCCCTACGGACTTTGCTGTGTATATTTCTATTCTATTCCGTGGAGGCCCCCCTCGCGGTTATGATCCAGCTGGATGAAAGCTGTGTGCGTTTCTACTCGATCAAGCAAGATTCTTAAAGGAAACTTTTGGTATGTGTTGATGTGATTATACTGATAGTCCATGGAAAAGAAAGAGAAGTTTCACGAGTATATCACGAATATATAGAGGCCACGAAGAAGGTCGAAAGAGAACACACGCGATGCAGCCGCACAAACTGTTACTACACCTAAGGAGTTTTTCCATGCTATGCGAATAGCCTCGATACCATAATGGGAGCAAGGGCTCAAGCAGAGTGAAATTGGGCCCTAACTGCGGTGCGGTAACGAAGACAGGCGATGCACGCCATAACAGCCAGAGCAAAAAACGAACGATGTTCCATTTTCAGACGCGGTAGGTAGTAGTAGTAAGGCAACTGATACATAACTCACTCATATGATCGAGTGTGTAAGACATGTATACCTCTAACTAAGGTCGCAAAAAAGCCCAAAAAGAAAGGCAACATTGGCTGTGCGCGGAATCGAACCGCGATCGGCACGGAATTGTAGAGGGTTCAAGACCCAATCCACAACGTGACATGATACCATTACACCACACAACCCCGAAGGATTTTCACAGTAAGCCAGATCAGTGAGCTGATCCGAATTGTTGCTTCGATGGAACATGCTGCGACAAGTATAACAAATATACCTCCATTTTGGCAATGCTCCAACGTGCAGCCGCAGTCGTCTACCGCATTCACAGTACAGATGCGATGATAAGCCAGCCTTGGTAAGGTACAAACTCTGGAGAGACGCATAATACCGTAACAACCAGCACATAGATGGCTCTAGCACCGGCTCACAGCATACAAATACTACAACTACGAGCATTATCAGTGTGATAGCGGCTTCAATTCAAGGCAGGTTTTCGTGAGATGGGTCAGCTATGTCGAAACACTGGACCTATTTCTGAGCACGCCCTAACTGCGGGCCGGCATCATAGGCCACATGATAGCGGCTGACTTTCTCCAGGAATTCCACGATTAGCTCCAGACCGCGCCTAAACACGAGACCCTGGCGCGGATCCGTATATTTGCGCCCTCATAACACTCATGGTCTAACCCCCCCTCTACAGCCTCATCCCACTTGAGAGTCAGCCGTGGCATCTCTTCCTTCAACAGCGACGGTGCTGGTCATTATATTATCCTGTTTGCGCTCCTAAACGCTTGTACACTTGGCGATGATCGACCCCTAGATCCGATCCCAAGAAAATCCCCGATTGGATGATTGAGATGCGTTCCTGAAACCTTACAAGAGTCAACTCGCCTATCCTTGAAAAGGTCCCCAAACAAACCCGCGCTGAGTTCTCGATGGACCGAGCGGCGCAATCTGCGTCGCCAGAACCTAAGTTTTCGCGATATCGATCGATGAGAAGAGCTGCCGATACTGCGACGAGTCCTCCACCTACACAAAGTTTCGCGGATGCGAATGCTGCAAGTTCGGTGCATCGCAGTCGGTTGCGCTATCATGGAAATCGTCCTGGCACCTCCCAAGGCGAACAAGGGGCGCCTATGCCATTAGCGCAAGGTACCGTGCAAACCCCACCTACGCGACAAGAATTTACACGGTACCGAACTGCAAGCAGAAAGGACTATGGGAGTACACACGAGCAGGACTTTATATCCGAGACGGCTAACTCGCAGGCGCCTCAATCTGCGCATTGGACCACTGAAGCGGGACAGGGGGCGAGAGGAAGGGTACAATCGAGAAAGGGAGAAGGGGAAGAGATGGAGAGTTCAGCAAGAGACAGGTCGATGTACACCATTCAGGATAATTCTGGCGGTCTCGACTCTCAGAAAAGGACGCCAGACCCGATGCGCTACAGGAAGGAACACGATCAGCCACGGGGAGGTGCAAAATCAGTGCCAAGACCGGACTTGAGTCCGGAGGAGGGTGATTTCGGAGGATGCTTTGGGTTGTTCAAGAGAAAGCGAGGACAAGAGATCTCAATACAATCTGAGAAGGTCCGTGAAGCTCAAGGTTCACCACGACACTCTAATGAACCTTCCGCGATTAGGCCCGGTGGCGGTGGTGTCGTTCCTGGAAGGGATGCACCTCTGTCTGCTGTTAATGCAGGTGACAGGAAGGTGCTTGTGCAATGCAACAGGCAATCCATCTACTTGCCAGTCACTCCTACGACTACGTCAGTCGATCTCATCAACTCAGCTGCCAACTGCCTGTCAGAAAATATTTATACGAAATCGTCCGTTCTACTGGAGTCGTTCGACAAGGCAGGTGTGCAGAGGCCATTACGGAGATATGAGCATGTCAGAGATGTCATGAACTCATGGGATGATGACAAACAAAATTCTCTGATAGTGATCCCATCAGTTGCAGCGGGTGCAAACATCCAAGCGCTGGGGGTCTCATATGTACCACGCGAGAAGCCCGAAGAAACTTCGTTCCTCCTGTATTATTCACAGAAGGTGGGATCATGGGACAAACGTCTTATCACTATTCGGCTGGACGGCCAAGTTGTCATGACGAAGAAACCGAAAGACAAGGACGTCACTACCCTCTGCCATCTGTCCGACTTTGACATATACACACCTACTGCGCGACAAGCGTCGAAGAAGATCAAACCACCGAAGAAAGTATGCTATGCGATCAAAAGCCAACAGAAAACAAGCATGTTTGAGACGACTGCAAACTACATCCATTTCTTCTGCACGAGCGATAGGTCTCTAGGCACGCAATTCTATGACGCGGTACAGGCGTGGCGGAGCTGGTATTTGGTCAACGTCATGGGCGAAGGGAAGAAGCAGACGAAAGCCACAGAAACGGTCCCAGGAAAGACTCATGCCATGCACAGCAGCACAGCAAACGTGGGGTCCAACCCATACCTCAGTACGCAAAGCTCAATGGACTCACACTACCAACTCGGATCGTTCAAACCACTCGTTGACCTCACGAATTATGAAGCCCGTCCATCGACTTCCCATACACAAAAGGAGGGTCTCAACACGATGGCACGCAGACCCTCAACAAGAGAGCGCACGCAACCACCCGTCTCCCTGCCAAAACATCTCCAACTCGCCGACGACGAGCCTTTGGCCAACATGACTCACCGCCGGCCCTCTCTCGACCGCGGAAGCGGATCCGACCCCGTATCCGCCTCTACCAGTCTCCTCGGCCGCAGCTACTCCCAACGGCAACGCGCCCTCCAATACCGCGAAACCAAAAACCAACCCGAAACCCCCTTCACCGCCGGCCCCTCCCTCCTCAACACGACCCACGACGCCAAAAAGCCAGCCTCGCCCACAAACCCCTCCTTCCCGCCCCGCCAACCCTGCACCCGCCGTCCCACCAACCCAGCCGACCCAGCCGCCCCCCACCGCACCCGCTCAACCCGCGACCGCAACCGCAACTCCACCGACCTCAGCCGCTCCCTCTCCCGCCCCACCGCGGCGCCAAAACCCCTCATCGACCTAACACCAACCTACCAGCCGCCACCCCAGCACCAGCGCAAAGGCACAGGCAAAGGCTACCGACCTCGGCCCGACGAGATCGGGCCGGGCGGACTGATCGAGTCTGCCACGTCCCCGGAACACGCGATTGCGATCCCGCCGGCGCACGACTGGCGCGGCCGCCGCGATCTCCAGAGCCAGGGTTCTCTGAGAGAGGGCAGGATGAGGGAGGGCAGTGGGAGTGGGAGTGGGAGTCGGAGTGCGGGGAGGGAGAAGATAGTGAGGAATGGGAGCGGTGGGGCGGGGATGAGTCGGGCGGAGGGGAGGAGTTGGGAGAGTGCGAAGGAGTGGGGGAAGGGGGAGGAGGGGTTTACGGGGGGCTTGTTGGCGCAGGCGCAGGCGCAGGCCGGGCAGGGTGGATTGGGGACGGGGAGGGGTGTGGTGAGTGGGAATCAGGCCAGGGCGCCCATGGTGGATGTGCATGAACCCAGTCAGTTTGCCAAGGGGAGTTTGTTGAGTAGGGTTGAGGGGATGGAGGGGAGGGCTTGAGAGGGGGATGGTCCTTTGGGTTCGTTATGATTGATGATTAGATACGGCCGCGATACAGGTAGACTGCGCGTCTTGCGTCTGTGTTTACGAAGTTAATGAAGGATTGGTCAATCTGTCTCTGCAGCTGAACTATCCAAGTCCAGCCGAAGACGTTCTGTAATAAAGTTGAGCGACTTGGGTTTGTCGTCGGATGTAGAATAGAGGAGCAGCTCTCTGCCCACGCTCGCACTCACTTTAAGCTAAATGCCGTCTCTGGCAAAAATGAACTGTAAGATGAACAGACACCCCATAAAGGTGGTCCATGATAACGAGCAAAAACGCAAAAGAATATAGCTCAATGAAGGTCGTACCCGGAATCGAACCGGGGTTGCCGGAATTTTCCGATCTGGGGTAATCAGAATCCGAAGTGCTAACCGCTACACTATACAACCGTTGAGGTACAGATTGTTTTATTCTATTTATATGGCCTTATCTAAATCTGCGCATCACGTAGCTGACCGCCCGGACTCCAGGACAGTACGATTACTAGAGAAGTGCCTAAGGGTCCTGGTACGAACATGGCTGCGGTACGAAAATAGTTGAGCGAACCCGATGTTGGATACGAGCTTAGGCCTCGCTGCATTATGTATTTCTGTTCTGTGAAGGGCAAAGGGGGTACATCATCCCATCTATTTACTCTCTTCACCGTCCTGCTTGGAACTCTGACCCTTCACCTGAGTCTTCCCCTTCTTCCCGTTCTCCTTGCCATTCGTAGGAACCACCTTCGCATCAGCGACCCACTTCTTCCTACACTGCTCCTCATCCTCCTCCGTCCACTCGCGCGGCAAAATAGCAAAGGTCAGGTAACTCGTGTGCGTCTTGATCTCATTCTCAGTCCGATGCACGAGCCTGCCCTCCTTGTAGATCTTCCTGCTCTCAAACTCCTCCTTGATCTTCGCCAAGCGCTCGGCCTTCGATCCACCCACCGACTTCCCATCCGGCCCTCTGCCCACCTTCAACGCTTGCGCCTGACTGCCATCCTTCGGGCCCTCGTTCCACTCCTTGAACCGTCCCTCGACTTCCCGTAACCGTCCCACCGCTTCCGCCACGTTGGCGGCGCTGGAATTCACGCCTCGGAGTCCTTCCTCGTGCAGACCGATGCGCTCGCGTCGGACCTCGACGCGCTTGTGCTGGACTTCGACCATTTCAATCTCGGTCCAGCCGAGACGGCGAAGGGCTGCCGTCGTCGCTGTCACTTGCTCTATACATGGGCTGAATGTGCAAAGATATGTCGGGGTCTTGGGGTTGAGTGGCGAGATGAAAGGGCTAGTATCTTGTGAGGTCGTTGTTGGTGTAGACGAAGAAGTGGTGTTTTCTGGAGCAGGCGACTCCGTTTCGGGATGTGTAACAGCCTGCGCCGTCTTCGGGGGCACCCGTCTCCGACTCAGGTGTTTAAGTGCTAGCCATGGCGCCGGTAAATCGAGAAAGACAGCATTGGCCTTGGGTGACTCGCTCTTGTCTTCGCCAAGGTTGAAGCCATCTGCGTAGACATCACGGTGAGTGACGGTAACAACATCGTCCAGACCGTGCGCCGTCATCTCTCCACGTAGGGTGTTCGCACGAGGTTCGTGATACTCGAAGCTGCAAACACGGCCGTACTTTCGTTTCTTCTGCGCCGGCTCGGAAGCGGATGGGTAGCCGTTGAAGACCGCTCTTGCAGAGGCATGCGTGAACGAGCCACTGCCTGCACCAGCTTCTATGATGGTCTGACCAGGCCGTACTCGTAGACGCTGAAGTACATAGCTGTAGTCCGGAGTGTAGACAACCTGTGTCCTGTGTGGCAAGCTAACGGTCCAGCTTTCTGGCGTAGGAGGCAGCAAGTGGATGAAGCCTGACCCAGCAGCGATAGCCGTCTTGACATCCTCCCCAGCCTCTCTACCACCGGTAGGAGTGTTAGCATCCGAGTCCGTCTCGTCTCGCTTTCTCTTGTTACCCTTGCGTCCACGTGATCCAGTGTCGACTTTGGAGGCGAGCACCTGGCTTCCCCATGGTAGATTTACCAGTGTGCTGTGTGGGAAAGAGCCGAATCTGGTGTTCGTCACGGCGCCTTCTGCGTAACCATCTGCGTTATTGGTAGGGTCGGACAGAATGACTGGGACTAGTTGATCACGGCGGAGATGCAGGATAGCCAGTGACTCGGCGGTTGCAGTTTCTCCCGGGTTGAAAAATGGCGAATGCCGGGTTTTAGAAGTCGCCATCTCGATGCCCTTGTTATCCTTGGTGAAGACTGTCGCTTTGATGTGCCCCTCCTATCACTTGTCTGTGGTCTTGATATTTTCTCGACAGATGCCAAGACAAGGAAAGTCGAGGGAGATGCACGAGTCATGCAAGCCAGGGTCCACGGGAGATCGACGTGCGACCTTTTGTTCCATAGGGCTGGCACATGCGGATGTCATTCCAGTCACTGTTGAAGTCACATCCGACACCTTGCTTCAGCAACACCATGCGCGCTGGTTGATGCAGTTCATTCTCCGCCGTATCTCGCGCTCGCCTTTCCTCACTCGATCCTGCGCAACATCATCCACAACCTCAATCCGTCCGAGAGCAGCAAAGATGGCGTCGGTAATGCCAGAATGGACGCCTCCTCCAGCACCAACTGAGCAAGTAAAAGCAGCGCTTCCAAAGCTGTCAGTATACAACAGCTTGACTCGCACAAAGACGCCATTTGTACCGCTAGATCCTGAGGGGAAGCAAGTTACGTGGTATGCGTGTGGGCCTACAGTATACGACGATGCAGTATGCGCAACCCTTTATTCTTGTAATTGTATGGATAGCTAAGTGTTGATAGCATTTAGGTCATGCCCGGAACTATGTCTCAACTGATATCATCCGGCGCATTCTTAATGACTACTTCAAGTTCCGGGTGAACTTTGTCATGAACATTACGGACGTGGATGACAAGATCATTCTGGCTGCAAGACAGCAGTACTTTCTGAAACAGTTCATTGCGCAACATCCTACGATAGAGGAGGACGTCCTGAGTACAACCAAGGCCGCCTTCGTTGCCTACACAAAGAAAAACCTACCTTTGATACCGGAAGATGTCAGACCAGATGTATTTGCGCAAGAGGTGGAGAAGGCGTATGGCCATGTGTTGAGAGGTCAGGCTCTGGAAAAGGATGGCAGCGTCCCAGGAGATAAGGAAGCCAAGGTCAAGATGCATTTGAAGACTGCAACTACGGCAGCGGAGGCGCTATCAGATTCTGGAGTGGAGAGGGAAGCTTTCTTCGCGAAGTCTTCTGGTGTGCTTTTGCCATACCTGGATTCTCAATACAAGGAATCACTGGACACTAGCGACCAGAGCATATTCACGGCGCTCACGAAGAAGTTCGAGGACCGCTTCTTCAGTGATGTGGGAGCATTGAACGTTCAACCTCCGGATACTATCACTCGAGTCACCGAATACGGCCCGCAAATCGTGGAATTTGTGAAGCAGATCCAGGACAACGGCTTCGCGTATGAGCACGAGGGATCAGTATACTACGACACGCAGGCTTGGGAAACTTCAGGAGGCGTCTATGCGAGATTAGAACCGTGGAACCGCAACGACAAGGACCTCCAAGCGGACGGTGAGGGTGCGCTCAGTAACACGAAAACTTCATTCAAGAAATCAGCAGCAGACTTCGCGTTATGGAAAGCATCGAAGTCTGGCGAGCCGTACTGGCCAAGTCCCTGGGGTCCAGGAAGACCAGGTTGGCATATTGAGTGCAGTGCCATGGCTTCAGATGTTTTGGGCAGACAATTCGATATCCACTCTGGTGGTATTGATCTTGCCTTTCCACATCATGACAACGAGCTCGCGCAATCAGAGGCTTACTGGGCCAAGTCTGGCAAGGAGAGTAAGCAATGGGTCAACTATTTCTTGCACATGGGTCATCTCAGCATCCAGGGCTCAAAGATGAGTAAATCGCTCAAGAACTTCACAACCATCCGCGAAGCACTAAGTCGAGGTGACTGGACTCCACGAGGGCTTCGGATAGCTTTCCTCCTTGGCGCATGGAAAGACGGCCTTGAGATTACTGACGAGGTCGTCAAGGCCGGCACCGCTTGGGAGGAGCGTGTTAACAACTTCTTCATTAAAGCGCGTGACGTGGAGTCAAACCCGTCACCAAACACCGGCAACGGCAATGCTGACCTTACCGCAAACCCAGACGGCACGGTCAAGGAAGCACTCGCCTCGGCCAAATTCCGACTTCACGATGCTCTCTGCGATTCATTCGATACCCCTGCTGCTATGCGCGTAATCTCCGACCTTATCACATCTTACAACTCCGAGAAGGGCGTCTCTAACGAGGTCACCCTCGCCGTTTCCGCCTGGCTGACCGAAATCGTGAATGTCTTCGGTCTCGACGCGACCCCAGAAAAGGGCAGAACGGGATGGTCTGGTATCGACATCCCAGAAGCCGCAAAGCCCTACGTCTACCCAATCGCCACTCTGCGCGACGAGGTGCGCCGTCAAGCCATTGCCGGCTCCATCGACGCCCCGCTACTTTCCTCCAAGCTCGTCAAACCCACATCATCATCATCATCACCAGAATCTGCACCCTACGAAGCCGCCTGGACAGACTTCAGCAGCCGGCTGCACAAGCTGATTGCGGAGAAGGCGGCACCCAAGGCTTACCTTGCCCTGTGCGACTTCGTCCGCGACACCACGCTTTGGGACCTGGCAATCTACCTAGAGGACAGAGAAGCACCACTGCCCGCCCTCGTGCGTCCGCTCACTGGCTCTTTGCGCGCTGAGCGCAGTTCACGCGAGGCTCTTGCGGCTCTCAAATTGCAGAAAGCGGCAGCGGCAAAGGAGGCTAAGGAGAAAGAGGAGAGGGAAAGGCTGGAGAAGGGCAAGTTGAGTCATTTGGAGATGTTCAGGACGAGCGAGTACAGCGCGTGGGATGAGGAAGGTTTGCCGACCAAGGATAAGGAGGGCGTCGAGATTGCGAAGAGCAGGTCGAAGAAGTTGAGGAAGGAGTGGGAGAGGCAGAAGAAGTTGCATGAGGCGTGGTTGGCCAGCCTGAAGAGTGCGTAAGGTGGTGGGATTGCGACAATAGACTATGAATGAGATCTGTATGGATCTGCGTACGATTACATTTGCCCTGCTATACATGTACAGTACAGCGGCAGACTCGCCCTCGCACAGGTGTCCTGATCTGCTTATCCTTGCTTCGTATCGAATGTGGCAAAGGCCAAGGAGCTGGTCCAAAAGACCCATACATCCTAACTGATAGATATGATACGAGAGTCAGTAGACCACTTTCCACTATCAGCACACAAGCAATATACCTTACAATCTGTATGTGTGACCATCGGAGGTGCCCTATCGGCGAGCGGCAACACGAAATCCAACGGTTACATTTTTCGCGTGGAGTGTGAGCGGGTCCCTACCTAAGGAGTTCGC